GTCAGTGTCAATATATCTCCCTCCCTCCCGACCCCTGAACGTTCATTTTGCACACACTAAAACCCTGATTTGACTGTCTCCCTGTGTTATTTCCAAGTTATATAATGTGCTGTTATTGGCCAATAGATAAAGCACTGAAACCAAGCTTGTTCGCCACATCTCTGTTTTCCAAACAAAAGTGCATTGTGCACACCCTGAGTTTTCCATAGGTAACTGAAATGACGCGAACACTGGTCGGCCGAACCATTAGATCAGAGCTGATTGACCATGTCAGGTAACTAGTTTGGATTAGATGTACGGCCCGACAATCACGGCTCACTTGATCAAATCCGAACATCGTGCCAGAATGAGTGAGTCAAGCTCTATCCGTTGGGCCATTTAAAACCCAAGAAACATTTGGAATAAAACCGCTTCATAGTCCCAAGGTGCCAGTATGGGCTGGTATTATGCATGGCAGGATTGTCGGGCCGTACTTTTTCAATGGAAACGTAACAGTTAAGAACAATTTTGCTTATTGTTGCTTATTATTGTTTAAGACGCTTCATACTTGGCAATGTTACAAGATGATGTGGTACCTGCAATTAGGCGTATAGAAACTGAAGTTGGTACTACAGTTCGGTTCCAACATGACGGTGCACCACCACACAATGCTTTGTTNCTTGCGGAGTGTGAATATTCGACTGATGTGGGCTGTACTTTTTCAATGGAAACGTAACAGTTAAGAACAATTTTGCTTATTGTTGCTTATTATTGTTTAAGACGCTTCATACTTGCAAATGTTACATGATGATGTGGTACCTGCAATCAGGCGTATAGAAACTGAAGTTGGTACTACAGTTCGGTTCCAACATGACGGTGCACCACCACACAATGCTTTGTTGGTGAGAAGTTTCCTCGACACGGAATTCTATGGCGTTAACGCAATCATCGCGAAATTTCATGTTCATGATTTCTACAGTGTCGCTATTTTTGTTTTGATTGTTCAACTGTCGTTAACACATTAATTTGCTTGGGATCTATTATTTTAGGTCGCGGTAAGCAGCTTCGGGGTTTATGTTTCGGTGTCCAATGAGAACATTCTGGACGCACAAAAGGCGTTTGTTTCCCTCTCATTGTTCAACATCCTGCGTTTCCCATTGTTCATGTTTCCGATGATAGCTAGCACTTTGGTTCAAGTAAGTTTACCAATCCATTTTTCATGCATTTATTCTTCGTTGACAAAGTATCGTAAAATGGGTCTCACTTGTTCGGTCACACGAAGCATTTACTAGTCAAGCTCGGCTAACAAGCCAATCAGTCTTCTCTTGTTTCTTTTTAAAATCCCGGTAGCATGTATTTGCCAATCCAAATTGCCGTTATCTCTCTTGAAATATTATTTACAATACTTTTGGTACATCGTTTGGAGGTCTGGGAGTTGAATTTGTATTCTCGCTTTCGGTTAACCATTCTCAAAATTTCGTGTACGTGCACAATTGTCAGTGCATCCAGTTCATCCTACACTCAAAAAGCACCAGACTCGAAAAATTCCCCTTTAAAAATGAACAGTAGAGCATATTGACCGTTCCGTCGACGATGGGAAATACGAACCCATCTCAGGGATGCTGCGTGTGGTACACTGTACCAACCAGCTCGCGCCACGTTTGAGCATAATTGCAAACTCCTGTTTATCCAGATGTTCTCCACAGAATTCTTCGTTTATTGTTTTTGTTCTGTGATTTCGGCCCCTTGAACGTCCTTCACCAATTTCATGTTGGTATTGCCCGTTGTGGAACTCTTAGGCATACATTGGTTCAAAAATTGATCAAATCGCGTTACTGGTTCCGATCAAAGATATGGCCTATCCGCCTTACGCGTTCCGCGCTAGCCAAGCTCATATTGGAGAAGTAACTAGCACGAAACCCTGCGAGAAATTGTAGCTAGGCTGTGCTAGTGCATGAACTTGATTAGCCTTGGTCAACAGTTTCCGATGCTATAAACAAGTGAGCGGGATGACTGAATGTTTGTTAATCCGCGGATCTGAATCATCAGTCAGCTAATTTCAGACACTCAAATAAGTCAGTGCTTTTGATGGTAACTGCGCAATAGCTTGAGGTACAGATTAAGCTAAGTTTGGTGGTGAACCCCGGCCGATATTGGAATTACGCGCGTGGCCTATGCACCGGGCGTGAAAGTGACACACTGCAATATGGCATAGCTTATTGAGAGCAGCACAGTTCCGATATCAGGAGCTTTGCCGGCGTTGCGCAACAAAAAATGCAATGTGAAGTAGTAATTCAAAAATACGTTGATGATCGTGATGATGCGTGAAACTTTGCAGGTTGTATCATTTGCCGTCAGAATTGTGGCTGATCTTTCCCAGAAATCTGTCTAGTCGCAAGTTCATCATACGAACAATGTTTCAAGTAGAACACAGCGTTGGATCAGTTAAGCTGTTCACTTTGATCCAAATTCTTATTCATTCTCATGCAGGCAATTTGAGACTTATGGCTTGAGGTGTATCTAGTTGCCATACCATCCTCTCAACTGCTTCGAATAATCGGTCCATTTTGAATGAGTTGTAGTATAATTATCAGGATTTTCTTGTATTCGAGAATGAAAATAATCGAAAGCACACATTGGCAACCTCATCAGTACAGATCATTGTCGATTCATCTATTCAACTTTGCTAATGAGCAAAGATTGCAAGACTTTCTCACGTAACTTCAGATTAAAACAATTGCTGGAAATTCGATCAGTGGTTCATTAAATTATTATTTGAAATTTTTAAGTATGCGACACTTGAAAGCAGATGTTTGGTAGTATACCAATAAGAATAATTATTCTCAAGGCAGGATTGATTTTTTCGCCCTTTGATGAAGTTCTTTATTGCATGAAGATTGCTTATCAATTGTATTTTAGTCTCCAGCTTACCAGTATGCTTTCAGGGTTTGATTGTTCAATTATGTATTTCTTGATTTTCTGCTAGACATTTGTTTCAATTCGGAGATTGAGCACTTTTCTGAAACATACCGAACTAAATCCCAACTCACTTACACGCGAGAACACACCTGGCATTGCCGCCGTGATTGAACGTGGCGTGTTCGGTTGGGATCCGGAAGATGAACCGGTGCTGAAAAAGTGAGCATGAGTATCTGACATCTTTTCGTTTACTGATTACAGGTATTAACCAAACTCGTGCAACATCATGACTTTTCCCAAATCTATTTATCTCGTTGCCAAACGTTTTGATCCTCATGCACGGGCATGTGCATGGTATTACCCTAGGTCACTCGGAAATTTTTTATAGTACTAAAAATTATATGGTTGCTTCTTTTGGCCGAGCGCGTTAGAAAAGTACAATTTCTCCATTTCGACTATGGTTGCTGACGCATCGACTGTAAGATAACCGAACGTTTGTGGGGGGAGATGATAAACATTTATTCGTGAAAAGAACTTATATCAATTACACAGATTGAG